GTCCCCGGTGTTTTTAAAAAGGGGGGGTCCCGGGTTGGGACCCCCCCCCCCCCCCCCCCCCCCCCCCAACTTGGCGTGGGGTTCGGGGGCCTATTTTGGCATTTTAGAGGTCGACATTTGGTACTGTTTAGAACTATGATTCAGCTATTTAAAATTCTAATTTCAAGAGGGGACCAGAAATTGAAGGGGGGGAGGTCAGGCCCCCCTGACCCCCCCCCCCTAAATCCGCCACTGCACAGTATGTCATACCGGTACATTCAGTTATTATCCCTCTCACATACGTAAATAAAAGGGCTAACATAAAGCAAGAAATTTTATTTGGGCACAAATAAAGTAAACCCTGCCACACACACACCACACACGCGCACGCGCTCGCACACCCATAATAAAACAACACTCAATTTATTGGCATCTCTGATAGCGAAAACGAGGCATATTTTTGGATAGTGCCCGAAGGTGTTTATTTATTCTGTCACGTTGACCACAAAGACGGCAGTTAAGGTCACAACTGCCACTTTCTACTGCTTATGACAGAGACGACTACTTTCATTGTCATTTCTTTATACAGCATATAAGTAAAAGTGGTCAAATTTAATCTTTCAAATTTCAAAATCGCCGGCTACATTTTTACTTAATAGGTACTGTAACTTCCGCTTACCTCAGCACTGACTTCCGCCAGCTGAGCAGATGAATCTTTGTCTGACAGGTCCAAGGCTGTATTTTGCCCTTGCTCCTAAATATTTTGTGAGCCTAAACAGCGCACAGGTTGGTAACAGGACAATTACGCGTGATTCCAAGCATATTATAAATCACCATTTAGCGCAATCTAGGTCAAAATCTGTGAAGTGGAGTACATTTGGCAGATATTTCCCTCGTCAAGTTCAACACCGTCAAATGCGAGCCTACACGGCTGCACACAATGAAATGGATCTGGTAGATTTAGTTCGTAAACTCCACCACCTAGCACCTCTAGCGCTGGCCGAGGACTGGGATAATGTTGGTCTGCTGGTTGAACCGTCTGCACCTCATAAAGTCACTGATGTGCTGCTAACTATAGACCTGACTGAGGAGGTATTGGCAGAAGCATTGGAAAAGAAAGTGAACTTCATTCTCGCCTACCATCCACCCATCTTTGTTCCTTTGAAGAAACTTACGCAGTCGTCAGTGAAGGAGCGGATCATCGTAAAATGCATAGAGAACAGAATAGCTGTATACAGCCCACACACCTGTGTGGATGCTATGGAGGGAGGAGTGAATGATTGGCTAGTTGAAGCATTTGGTATGTTTTATCTAACATACTATTTTTTCTACGTACTAGATACTAGTTATCCTTTTTTACACTTCAATGTGAGACTACATAAAAAATTATATTTTACCAAAGTGTGCTTTGCAATTAGAATTCTTCTGGAAAACTATGGTGGAAACTGCTTTATAAATATTTGGCAATAAAAATGAACAACATAAATTAAACTTTTAAACATAATTATTATATTAAAATAGTCATAAATGCTTAAAACAAATCCCTTCATTGGCTGTCAAGCACTTAAGACATGACTGTATATGCACCAAATGGTCTCACTGATAATTCTCTCTACAAGATAAGCTGTGTTGGATAAACCTAACTGTATATTGTTGCCTTTGCATGTCACCATTCTGACTTGCTAAGAATTGTAGATCATTGTAATCCAAGCTAAATAGCCACTGAAGACAAATATTTCAAATTCCTTGAAGTGATATAATATGGCAGGACATTGAGCTTCTTATGGCTGCCTTAAGAAGATTACAGAATTACATTTGCATTGCTGATTCAGTTGTTTATTAGCCTGCAGACAATATCAAGTTAGACCAAATTGGTTTAAGCTTTAATTTATTACTATATGTTGTTAAGTTGGGAATTATTTCACATAATTGTTTTAATTGCAGATGTCTGATGAAATGGTAAGCCTTTTCTTTTTATTAAGATTTGTTAATTCTTGATTCAAAAACACAGACATTTATTTCTCCTTCTCTGATTCTTGGAATTATAATAGTATCTGCCCTGGTAATATACTATAATTCCTTGCCTGTATGTAGGTAAAACAGAGAGATCAGATCCTATCAGCCCAAGTCTGGCTCCCAGCTGGCCCACTGTTGGCAGTTACAGGGTTGATACAAGAGTGCCTGCCAATGTGATCCATGAATTTGTGACTCGAGTACAGAACACCCCAGAAGTGGAGATAACAGACTCAGCAGGGTAGGTTTTTAATACACTCAAACTTCAGTAAAAATATCCCATTCTTTTCATATGAGACTACAAATAAATAACACAGTCACTCTCTCACACACACACACACACACACTCAAGCCCCCCCCCCTTTCAAATTTACAGAGAGTTGACATTATACCACAAATATTAATTTGTGGTGATTATTTGTTTGGTGTATTTGTTATTTGTTTAACTGAGGACCTTCTTTCCTTAAGCCGTGTATGTGCACAGCATTATTTTTGTTAGTTGTGGGAAGACCTTACATTTTCAATTTTCTTAAAATCCATACTTTAAATAACAAGTTCCTTTATGAAAGCTGTTATGCCTATCCTGTAGACATATTTTGATGCATACTAAGTGATCTGATATGGGAATAGATTTTAGACATTTGATCTCATGGATGGAGGACAGTTGACTTCACCAGATGATCCCCATCCATGTACGGTTATATGTTCCTATTCAAACTTTCAGGTTGAACTCTAGTGGTCCAGATCTAAGGTTACAATTGAACTGTGGAGAGAAAAGCTTATCCAACTTGATAGAGCTCTTGCATAAATACCATGCGTACAAGGAGTTCACTGAAGTCATAGCGCTAGTAAAGGTAAAAAAAGAATTACACATGTAGTTCATCCTGACATATACAGCCTACCAGAATGTCAAATTAAATTGCACTATTATTTGGCTTGTTTTGTAAATACTGTTTTAGGCATTAGAAAGTGCCCAATGTCATTGCAGCCATATGCTTTGGGCTAATAAAACTGATTATATTATAGGTAAGATAACAGTGCAGACTAATTACCCTTTGATAGTTGCAAAATTTTCTTATTTTCATCAGCACTTATTTTGTGGGTTGATCTTTAACTTGGTGTTTTGGTAATGTTTTTCTTCCATTTTTAGCCTCCTATGCCAGGCTTCGGCATGGGACGTATTTCTAAACTCAGTAGTCCCGTCACATTAGATGATGCTGTCACGCGTGTTAAACAACACCTGAACCTGGAGAGAGTCAATCTGGCAATCGGAGCTGGTTGCAGCCTTAGTAAGTTGTGCAATATTATTCTGAAATTTATTTTAGTATTTTCATTTATATTTTCTTAATAATACTTTTTACCTACATTTCTACACACTTTTGTTTAGTGATTAAAATGTTCCAATTGCACATATTCCATTGATATTTAAGAAAATGTGCTTTGCATAAATGTTTCATTATTTTCATTAAAGAGTCAGACATCAAAACAGTGGCAGTGTGTGCAGGCTCAGGGAGCGGAATCCTCCAAGACATCAAGGCTGACCTGTACTTCACTGGAGAGCTTACTCATCACCAGGTGCTGGATGCCCAGTCCAAAGGCAGGAGTGTTATTCTCTGTGGCCATACCAACACTGAGAGGGGATACCTTACACATCTGAAGGAGAAGATGGACATCATGGTGGAGGGAAAAGTCAATGTTCTCTTGTCTCAAACAGATACAGATCCATGCCCATTTGTATAGGCCTGCAACAGTTCCATGGTATCATGGGGAAAGGATTTTTAGAGCTTCCAGATTTTGTCTTCAATCAATTACTTTTGTTGTGTGCAAATTTGTCTTTTGTTTAACTTCTATACATACTAGTCTTGAGATTGAGTCTTAATTGCCAAAGGTCTTTTCTTTATCTGGTATTATACATTTACATTTAAGTTCTGTTATTCATAGATAATTTTTTTAAAAACTAACATTACATACAGCAAATGTCAAACAGAAGCTGGAGAGGGAGAGGCTAAAACCCTTTGTAAAATATTCACAGTACAGCGTAGTGATGATGACAATAGTATACATTTTACACCCTCGGTGGTATTTTAGTGCCATAATAATTAAACCTACAAATTCTTTGTTATAAATTGTTAACAGTTACGTTCATTCAAGTTTTCAGATTTCCAATATTGACTTAGAAGCCAAATAAGCAGTAAAATATCTTTCAGGACATCTTTTGGAAGACCCGAAAGGCCATTTTAAGCTGCCATTTAATAAAACTTGTTAAAGTCAATTTCTACTGATATATGTGCACATCGTGTACAAGTATGTTAGTTATTACAAACCTTATGTTTTTGGTGCTGAAGTACAAGTGACCTAATGGTTTACCAAGATACCAGATAAAAGCTTGGTAATGAATTTAATCTCATGCCAAATATTGCTATTGCCAACATTTAACCCCAATGTAGAAATCTTCTGTTTATTATTAAAATTTTTACCTGTAATATAAACATAAATGTTGAAAATTTGCAATTTTGGAAATATGCAAAGGCAGTATTGTTGCATGTTCATGGTTCTTAAGGCTCATTTATGATATTGTGATACAAACCTAGAGCTTTGGCAGTGTTTTCTCTCCAGCCCCTTTTTAAGGTATATAGTGAAAGTGAATAAAGGCAAGTGCTAATAGAATAATGGACAACCTCGCTGTTAATGGTTCTGTTTTGATGGCATCATACAGTTGATCTTATGTAACCAAGGTTATATTTGTAATTGTGAAATACTTATGCTTTCAGTGCCTTTTTCATAAAAAAAAATGGTAAAATTTGGAGCAATTTATTCATTAGACAATTTTCAAGTCTTTCATTTCTTAACAATAAAATGATTATCCTCAAGTGTTGTTTTCTTGTTTTCTGAAAAACTGATATACATTACCCTGAAAGAATCAAAAGGCAAAGCATTTGGTTTGAATGAGGCTTTAGTAGTTTTATTTTAATTACTCCTGATTGAAGATTTGCCAAAATAAATGACGTGATATATTTTTTTGCTCGTAATAAAATGCTTTGAAGCAGAATTGAAAATTTGAGGAGGTGTGTGTTTAACATGTATAAATGCAAAAAGAAAGGTAAAAGTTGAAAAAAAAACTACACGTTTATAAAAAATTGTTGAATACAGTGATTTGAATAAATTGGAACTTGGTTGCATTTTAGAAACTATTTTCAACTTAAAATTTAGTTCCATCAAAGAAATTAATACAAATACATTCCCTAGATGCCTAGTTGAACAGTAAAACCATTTTAACCATGGCATATTTGTTTAAAAATCCTAATACTTACCATATCTTGCTATTTTGATAAAGATTATATATTACCTACTTATCGACACATTGTCTTTGCTTAGCGTTGGCACATCTAGCGCAATGAGGTTAATGATTCTCTGAAAATTTCCCCTAAAACAGACTGGGATTTCTACATTTCCTTGCTATATTTAAATATTGAAAGGTTATCCCGACCTGCGGAACACCCAGTATCAATCTTTCAGTTTGCACAAGTGTTCAATCGACGGTCAGTCTGTGTTTCAGGCCTTGTAAACAGAGTTCATTTTATATATGCATTTGAACTGTATTTAATTTATCTGCTTTGAAGTTCTTTATTCAAAGGCTGTGCTCCATGGATATTGTTACATATATTCAAAACTTATGATTTTCCTTTCTTTAGTAGGAGACTTTTAGGTGAATAATTATTTTGTGCTACTAGAAAATTAAACTCTGCAAATTAAAGTATTTTTATCAAATGTCCATCTATTACCCTCTGATATCAAAGGTTATACAAATAGTATACAAAATTTAAGTAAAAGCGATACAATAATTTTGTAACAGATCAGAGTTGGAGATTACCATTTATACTACATATCTAGTCTACCCAATAACCTTGACTGTCTGGGGCGCCGTGCCCATGAACCAACTGATGTTACTGATGTGACAATCACGTTATGTTACGTTTTGTTATCAGCCACAGGCCTGCTGTGTCGGAAAATTTAAGGCTGTACTGTGACTTACTCGTTGTGTGACCTTCAGACTCTACTATTTACTATTTTGTCTACTAGGATATTTATTGTTGGTAGAGTCATATGTCAAGGTTTTGCCAGCCTCTTAACACGTATGCTGAAGTTGACACAAAATGTTCATTTTTTAATGCTAAAACAAATTAAAATATCTTTAACAATTTAACATTTTTTTCGTACTCATGTAAATAGTTCGTAAGGGCTACGACACTAAAAGTTACCGAAAAGTTACTAGTTGATCCCATGCAGGAACGTGTTTCATTCCTTTTTATAATGGTTATTTTTCTTTTAATTGTTTCTCTTTTTATTAGTTAGTTGATTTAATTCATTTTATTTTAATTTTGATCCCAACTGACAGGGGAAAAACAAGCAACATCTGCAGACGCATATGATATGATGGCTAAACGCGAAGGGGTCATTCTCATGTATTAGTAAATGTATGTCTCACAACCGTTAAAGAGAAAGAACTTGATTAAACTACCTATATTCTTTTAAATCGGATAAATAAATTTAATGTATGTTCGACAAAATGAATACTAAAATGTTTATAAATTAATCATGACAAAGGCATTTTAAGTACCTGCAATCTATGCTTATTATTTTTAGTGTATTCTTTTTCAATCCCGCTCATCAGAAATGCAAAAATGGTTGATGATTTCCTTTCAACTGGGTAAATCTAAGTCGCCAGTAATGAATGTAGCTTTCCAAGGAGGTGTGATACTACTTGAACTAACTAGTTTTCTCTACCAGTGGTCAGCTCATTGAACACGTCAATCCTATCCAAAATGTATATACAGTAAGGTCTTGCTGTACATACCCTAGGTTCTAGATTTCGATATTGTCAGCTCGATCTTGATTTCGTAAATAATCAAGATCAAGCTAGCACATAACAAACCCGTAGCCATTAATTTCAAAATTATTTTTTCTGGAAAAGTGGACCTTTTATAAAAAAAATTCATGTACCTAGATCAAATTTTACCCAGAGTGGACCTTTTCCCAGCAAAAAGGGCGGTTGTTTCGAACCCCCCCCCCCCCCCCCCCCCCCGACACTCAGAGTAGTTGTACAGAAATGCGCATATATTATCCAGATACCCGGTACATATACATAAATATGTTGTGTAAAATTTATGAGGTTTTGGCAGAGCTTTAAGAAATTAAAACTAATGCATTAACTGTAATACAGTTATCGCCATGTACCGCTACATGTATATGGCATATAATATTGTGAGAGAAACATTGTCAATAACGCTATTTTACGGTACTTCTTAAAAGACCTACTGGTCCGGAATCTAATACGTTCACGTGGAATTAGGTAACAAGCTGCGTGATAAAGAAGTGATTGCTTGTTGACATTTGCCTGGATTTTTATTTTACCGTATGCGGCGTCTCCATTTCCTTTTAAACATACATTTTTCTTTTTGATGATATGAACTGCGTTTAGTAACAACAAGTCGTCCTGCAGGGTCAAAGTCCAACATTACCTGTGATAATCGTCAAAAGGATGGTTATTTTCTATGCTATGGCTTTTCTTCTACCTAATGCACGCCTGCCCACAAGGACGATAACATCTCTCTTAACTCATCAAATCTGACCACGACCAATAAGATGACCATTTGTCATCTACCTCAAACACATGTAGGCCTATATTCAATATGAATTTAAAAATGCAGAATAAGATGATGCAGGCGTTGATTAAGCTGTTGATTAAACTAACCACACCGCGATTCTGCTGCTAATTCTGTTTTTGTTTCACTAATATCCCTGTAGCTTATCGTTTGAAGCCACGTTATCACCTTCTATTCAGAATTTCTTCTATGTAAAAGTCAAATAAAGGGTTTATCCGAAAATATTTTTTGATGTTATTTCGCAGGAAACACCCGACAAAAGTTTTTTTGTTTGTTTGTTTGTTTATTTCTTTATTGTTTTTATTTTGTTGTCCTAGTTCGATAAATCGTATGACTACTTTTTTTCCAAAACTTTAGGCCTACTACCAACTCCGCTGACATAATCCTTCACGAGAATTGACAAGTTTCTTTTTATAATTCTTCCTTATTGGTTTCTCCGACAATGGAATAAATTAAACAATGTATGTAATATGGACATTTCTAGTTATTTGGTTGTGTACACAGTATATGCTTTTCGCCCACTTGGTAAGTAAGGTAGGTATAAACCTCCAAGCAAGTCCAAGAACACGTGTGAATCATGATCACTATTGGCTTCACTACATGCATCATATGGACTCCGCCAGTGAATGAAAGAGAGACCCGATGGGGATGTAGGTTATGTCGCATTGCACAAGTGCCACACATTATTAAATTATTCTCAAATATAAAAGATGTGAGGAGTTTTAGTTGATATACGAAATAAATTACCTGTGTTTGTGCTGTTGATTCTGCCAACAGTTCTAAGACGTTTAAAACTACTACTAAGTGAACTGATCTTTGTCCTTACGGGCACCTCAAATCTGGAGATTGCCCCCTCCTTTGGACTTTGAACCCTACTGGTAATACCGTCATAAATATTGTTATGTTTGGAAGATTAGACATCAGAACGTCGGAGCTGTGCTACTGCGAAGCTCTAAGATGAAGGGACTCCTGGTTATCCTGGTGTGTATCATATACACAATGATGATATTTAGTGTTTCTGCTATGTTGATGCCAATAGTTAACACATTTGGCTTGAAAAAGAAAGGCATTTTATCATACCTTTGGACATTAGTTTGGGGAAACCCACAAATCCCATTGTGCGACAAAGACTGTAGCACTGAAATTGTGGAATTTTCTGAAGATCTTGATACAATGGACGATAGAAACAACAATGTGAAGAAATATAGAAAGCACAGCACACGGGAATTAATTTTATCAGGTAATTTTTATTATATTTAATATCCCAGAATCTTTCCATTCCCTTCGTTATTATAAACGATGTGAGAAAAAGGGCCAGAGAAAAAGTCATGCACTAAATGTAGAGTATGGATTGTTTTTTGCCGAGGAGTAATAATAACATTATGTTTAATGTACTTCTATATTAATTAATTAAGTTCAGGGTTCATTTTTGCCAAGTTTTGATTATTCTTTCATTTCGTCAGCCAAACTACACGTGTGTAATAACCTTGTCCTCAGTTGTATTTGTGTTCACGTGAACGTAATTGTTGGTCAGTATAACTAACTTGGGGAGCAACGAAAGACTAGATAGCTTATCCATTTTTTGGTTTGTTCTTTGGTTTACATACATTTAATCTGTATGTATATTGTAAATTTTTGTAATGGCTTTTCTCGAATTTTTGTTTTGTTTGAATTAATGGTTTGTATTAATAGTTCAAATGATTTCCCGTCCTATCTTCCCCAAGAGATTTAAGAACACTCTACATGCAGGAGTCGCGTGTGGTGCAAGTGTTATGTCTATGAATAGAACCGTGTCCCCAGGGCTCGATCTGCAGAAAAAACATTGTGTTAGTTCTCAGGAAAGTTAAAACTGAAGCTACAAGAGCAAAATCACTTAATGTTTGTAGATAGACAGTGGCGGATTTAGGGGGGTGTCAGGGGGGTCCCCCCTTTCGATTTCTGAAAAAAATCTCACCAATGGTGCTTGAAATTAGAATTTTGACTAGCTGAACCATAATTCTAAAGCATGCCAAATGACACCATTCGCCCTTCAACGGGCCCCAAAACCCACCCCAAGGGGGCTGGGGATGGGGCCCAGCTTCGCATCCGTGGACCCCCCCCCCCTTCAAATAATCCTGGATTTGCCTCTGGATTTCACAAATTTTTATATGTACTGTTTCCTAATGTCAACATGGACTTTTCTTCACTGCTCAGCATTCAACTGGCGCTGTGCCAGTGGGGCATGATTACCTATGATGTAGAAAAGCTGGAATCTAGATAGATGAATATTTTCCTGGAGTAAACAACAATTTTCCCATAATGTTTATATGACAGTTCAGAGACAAATTTGACATTACATAAAATAATCTTAAAAGTAGTATTTATCACAATAATGGATCGAGTATGAAGCTCATTAAATTGCTTTGCTTCTGTAAATCTGTGAAAACAGGATTACCCAAAGTTGACAAGAGTGTGGGGAAGGGGGAGTGGCTAAAAAGTAAGGGTACATGTAGAGAGATATTTACATATGACCTTCAGAGAGCTTTGGATATCCAATTGAAATCCCTTGTTAATTTGGACTTTGAACAATATGTAGATGTGGCCTTGAAACATGATGACTTTGTAGGGATGACATCCTATTCTGTTGATATCAGATTATTGAATATAGATAAGCTGCGTGATGATACTGTGAGACTCTCAAAAGTGTAAGAAAAATGGTATCACTGAAAGGCCCTAACAATTTAATATGCTTCCTCCTTGTGTTGAATAGAAAACAGAAAAGCTGGTGAATATATATAAATATGTTGAAAACAAAAGGTGTATTAATTTGTTAATCTGATTTGCACTCAGCAAGGGTGCTTGGATAAATCTTGATAGTTTTATTGGGAATGGGCCCCTAGCATTTGGTGTAATACACAAAGGAACTCAAGATATAAGAGATACTAATTTTGTTATAATATTATATTGACCAATTTTAATATTTACATCTTGCATTATCTTTATAATGCCATAATCTTTTCATTTACAGAAAACTCAGACCACCACTCACAAGCCCCATCAAGTCCAAGACTGACAACTATTCGTGGTTAAAGTATTTGGAGGAATGAAAGATGTCCCTTCCTGAGAAGTTTACATCTGTTGTTACACCCTTGGTTCAAATCCAGATCTAGAGGGTGACTTTTACAGTACTGTTGCAAATGGACTTTTTATGTACATAGAACACATGCATGTGCTGTACATATTGGTGGCAGTGTGACAGAAAACCAAGAGAAAAACAGTTGAAGGGTTGATTTTAAAAAATCAGTGGCAGACAGTAAAAGAAGTAGTGAACTGTAAATGGAGACAACAGCATTTACTTAGAAAGAAGCCAATAATTTGTCTTCCAACTAAATTGGATATAGTGAAGAATCTCTTGTATAATTCTGAAGGCAGCTCGTACATTATACATGTACATCCCATTTCATTTGGCAGGAGATGAAGATTTTGAACACAAATTGCTGTCAGAAACTACACTAAGTTTTTTTGATCAAGAACTTAACTACATGTAAATACTCATTTGCCGATGGATCAGCATTTGTCCAACAACAGGATATAACCTGAACTTTCACCATCATGAACTGTGTTAATTTGTCCTGGGACACAAGATTTGGTTTAATCATTAAGGTTGTGCAATGAAATACAAACTTAAACTCTGTGATTTCAATGATTCAGTAATTTCATGTGTAAATAAATCACATTCATTTTTCACAAAGTAATAAATTTATATAAAATATTTACTTACATAGTTTTTGACGTTAAGTTTTTTGATAAATTGTGTTACTCCTATTTTAAAACTTAACATTTTATACCACCTAATCCATTATCATATTTCTGAAGCAGCAGTTTTTAAGTTCTTGAGAAAACTCTGATAGCAAACAGGTTACATTTCTGAACATTATAAAAATCTTTTCCTGCTACTACTAACAAAATCTTATGTTTAATGGAAATTTTAGTGTGGGCACTTTCAGATATATTGTTAAATTTGAAGACTAAATGTGTATTACCCGTTTCCTACAGCTGAAGGCAGGGGCGGATCCAGATTTATTTGAAGGGGGGTCTCTTAAGGGTCCCAGAAAATTTTAGTATTTTAAGAGGGCGAACGGTGCAATTTGGTATGGTTTAGAACTATGATTCTGCTAGTCAAAATTCTAATTTCAAGAGGGGACCATTGGTGTGATATTTCTCAGAAATCGAAGGGGGGAGTCAGGACCCCCTGACACCCCCTAAATCTGGCACTGTATAGGTATATTTATGTGTTTGAGCAGGGCACAATGAGTGTGTTTCACACCTTCAATACCTGTACATTTTCCAGGATAATCAAGCATGTAATGGCAACCCTCACTGAAGCCACAGTTACATATTACATAACCTGTGCACTCATCCAAACTGATATTGTACTGGCCAGCATTGCTTATAATTGCATAACACAGTCCAAGGCCAGCTGCTTAAGATGCATTTCCAGTTTTTCCATTACTAAGACTTGTATATTAGTTCTGCAGTCATAGCAATGCAACATCATTCACATGATGAACCACCTGGACAAAGCACAATAGTTTTTAACAAAACCATCATCACTCCTTTGTGGCCCAGGTAATTAATGTCATAAGAAATCCACCACTCAGTGACTAAGCAGTGTCAGGATTGAGTATAGCTATTACTCCATTCTGCTGTAATTTTTACACATTAAAACTTTGTACTTCAGTAGGATTTGTACTGAGTCTACAAAATCTATTTTATTAAATCTAAAAGAGCATTTTTATATACAGACACAGACTCACACTGGTCAAAAAATTTTATTGTTGTAGCTGTTCAGTTGATGTAATACACAGCAGGCATGGTGAAAATTGCGATTGATGTGCTCAATTTAAAAACACTTCTCTGTGAAAACGATGCCAGACACTTAAGCTTCTCGTGTTTCTATCAAAATAATTGAAACAGCCCAGACAAATAACTATTATTGAGTCATGATTTATCCAGCAGACATGAACACTTTAAGTGTAAAATATGGAGGGAATACAAGGTGTCCTCGAATGAAGGCTGAAGTATTACATATCAAATATCAAGCTGTGCATCAAAGTGGCACTTCATACACCAAATTTGGAGGATATTTACCCATTTGCTCAATAACACCAGCACCATTTCCCCCATAAGATAAGTTTATTTAGCCAATTATAAAAATCGGAAATCATTTTCCTTTTGGAGCAAGTTTGATAATATACAGAGTAAAATAATACAATAAATAAATAATAACTCTTCGTTTCGGCCAAAAAATTAATTTTCCTGGAGTAAACAACAATTTTCCCATACTAACCAATGGTTAATGGATTCATTTTTACATTCAAAGTTAGTCCCTGGTTTTTTTCTAAAAAGTTTGGCTTTTAGTATAGCCATCAGTGGAGGTCACGTGGTCTAAAGACAAGCTCAGATATCAGAATAATAGCTATAACTGCCGTTTTTGTGGTAAAACAGAATATATTATATTTCTATGCTTTCAATTACACACCTGTAAAAATTGACTAAAATAGGCACGCTATCAGTAAAAGTTCTCAACGATCTTTGCCGTGCCTTCTTTACTCTTCGCGGTGTTATCTTTCCAATTCAATTTACTATTAACAATCAGTTTTTTGGTTTCTTCATTTTTAGACATGCATGCAGGTGATAAGAGAAAAAAAACCTTTTTTAATAAGTTTATTCACATAATATATCCTTGTACAAGTACTAGAATTAACTTTCTGACCTGTGAAATCATCATCTAGCAGACAATGGTTTAGTATAACTACACAATAGAAATATATTTCTTATCTTTTTTCAGTGGCACATATAACCACTTGCTCAAAATATTATCTTAATGCGAGGCAACAGACTTTGTTAATTTTTTTCTTAACATTATTATGTGCTTAAGGTATTTTCAACCAATGTTTAATAAGTATATTAATTCTACGTAAAATGTACAGAAACCTGCAACAGAGCTAAAATTGTCACATTTTAATGACTCAATGTGGCAAGCAATTTTAACAATCAATAGCTTTTATACTTAAATGTATCATACTTTTAACATAAATTCTGAAGATGCTTAAGTTTCATTAATTTGAAATGTTACATATATGATTTTGCATTTAATATGATTAAAATATATTTAAAATAAAAATTAACCCAAAAGTGAATACAGGCTTACCAAACCACCCAATTTAACAACCATTACCCCAGCACCTTTTGCTTTAAAATCAATTCAATCAGTTACATTTTCATACAGAAAATATGCAATCCAGAAGTTGACAAGTATAAAAATAAAGCAATGTAAATATTTACTGGATTGTTATATGAAAAACTCATCTGTAGGTTAAATCAAATCACAGTCACAGGCAACCTTGTAAGCGTGCACACATTCAGAATTTACTTGACATTCAGCACTGCACGAAGAGTAACAAACACTTAAAATCTTTTAAAATACTGTTAAACTCATGCTTCTGTTTACTTTGCGTCCAACAAGCCTGGACGACTTAGCAGGCTTCTGAGTGGCTGTCCCTCTGTCCTTTGCTTCACGCAATTGTCTGAAATGGATATAAACTCCAAGTCAAAATTTTAAAAAGGCTATGCATACTCCCATTACTATACACAAAACTTGCTAGGAAACAGTAAATTTTTACAGATGGTCTTCATCAAATTGCTTTGAAAACAAAAGCCTCTTTTTTTCCCAGATTTCCGTTTATTCATATCATTATCCATATCACTATCTATTGATACAAACAATTCTTACCTTGCAAGTATTTCATTTTTGAACTTTTCTTCATTCAGTTCCTTCCTCAACTGTGCTTTAGACTTCTTGCCAAAGGGACACAACACTGGATGCTGGGTAAGACTTGTTGCTGATGGCCTGATCAAAGGATCAGGATGGATCATCGTCTGGAACAACAAAGAAAAAGAAACATCATCAAGACTAATGAAAATTAATTTCTTCTATATACCTTTAGTAAGGTCTTAGATGGGTTACGATTTCTTCCAAAACCTGTTAATATTTGATCATGTGATACAGAACGTATATCGTACAAAATGGTATGCAAAATACAGTTTATTACATTACAGTATTATCCTGTTGTGCAAGTTTCATGAAAATTTGAAAGCTGGTTGTTTGAAAATTGATGTCGAAATGGACAGTTTTTTATTTTAATAAGATGTGTCAAATATGATTTGTACATTCTTAATTACGTGATTCTACACACCCTCAGCAATTGGTTAAATTCATGTGAATAATGTGGCAGATACGGCAATTCTCCTCTCCTTATAGCATGCCACTGTTCACCATTCTTAGGCAAAGGTCTACCACCACCCTGAAAAAAATGATAAAATTTTAACATATATTTCAAAGAACTGTAAGGTCAAATCCAAGAGATTACACTTAAGGTTTATTGATGGTTGGAGTCAAAAAAAGTAGGAGATATTCTGACAGTGTTATTGAGCAAAGTCGAAACTACAAGCTATCTATGTATCTAAAAAGCAAACAAACAATTAGTCAATATTTTAATAATGTTTTTCAAAAATACTTACTGCTATGTAAATTGTCAAAGCTAAAGAAAAGATGTCTGCTTTGGTAAGGTGTGTATAGTCTTCTTGTAAAATTTCATTTGGCAAATATCTACAATCCCCCTCCTCTACACAAGAATTGGTCACAGATGTCACGTGTCCCAGGTCACCTAAACAATGAAATCACATAACCCAATATTAATACATACAAAGTTGAACATAAAGACATCAATTTCTTTTTAATAAATATGACAGTAGGTCAAGCCTACAAGAAACCATTTCCAAAAATGATGCAAACAGAACACTGCATTATAGGCAATAATAACTTACCAATCTTATATGTCACTGGTTCTGTATAACATTCTTCTTCTTCACAAATGTCCATTTCAAGCCCACTTTCTGGGGAATTCAAAAGCTTTGGGTCTCGATGGATAAAAATGTTATCTGAAATTCAAGTGAACATTTTAAAATTTAGGCATGACTGGCAGTACTTAGCAATAACACTGATAAAAACAGTTGCAGTCAAGAAGACAAGACTGCAAGAAAATTTTACCAAAAAAAATTTTTTTTTAATTTATGTCCCCATTGCTTTCCATTAATGTACTTTTTAAATTTCAACTACTTGTGTTAGTGTTAATTGGAACTACAGCTGTGTTATATTTTCTTCAAATTAAATTTGTAACATACCTGGCTTAATATCTAGATGCACTAAGTTTTGTGAGTGTATATACTTCAGCCCCATGACCAGCTGGTGCAAAATCTCTGTGAGTTCTGATTCTGTGAAAAGTCGCTCCAGTTTCATGTTGTCTTGTATGAAACTACTTAAACTACCACCTGTTCATAATGAATAAATATGAATAAATACATATAATACACATCTTAGACCATTTAAATGCTTCCCATCATAAGTTACAAACAAGGAATCTTTGTCTGTACATAAAAATAAAATTTAAGGGTTCGTTCACATGAAAAATCTTTTTTTTTTCTAAAAATCTAAAAAATCTATTGGCAGTATCTTGTGATCACAGTCTGTGCCCTGAATACCCCACAGCATAATTACTGGCAGCGCCAGCCAGTTACTTCCAAAGCTGTAATTAATTCTCGGCTGCGCTCAGAGCAGATTCTGACACCTTGACGCATGCGCAGTAGTATCTTTAAGCTGTGGAGTTTATCAGTTTAGTTGTGACGACTCAAGCATACAGACGCGTAATATGGCTAGTGGTAGTGCTTGTTATTGCACAAAATCACATCTTTCAAAGCAACTGCGACCAACTTTTACTTTCTAACTTCCTACTGTGCATGCATCAAAGTATGAGAATTTCCTCTTAGCACAGCCGAGAATTAATTTCAGCTTTGGAAGCAACTCGCTCGCGCTGCCAGTAATCACGCCACGGGCTATTTAGGGCACAGACTGTGATCACAAGATACCGCAAATAGATTTTTCATGTGAACCAACCCTAAGTGACTACATGTATAATGTATAAATAAATCAGTATGAAAAATACCATAATCATATTAAAACAAAATACAATATTGCTGTTGTATTTCATTATTTAAATGTACTTACCATTGCAATATTCATTTTGTATGTACATGCAACCATCCTCTGCCCAAGCTGAATAATATCTTACGACATGTGGGTGCTTCCCTAGAACTGCATGGGCATATACTTCATTCATAGCACTTCGCCTAAAAATGAAAACACGCTTTGACACATCAGCACAAAATTCAATCAACATATTAGTGATTATGAGTTTTTACAATAAACTTTACTTTTAATAAAACCTGGTGATATTTATACAATTGATAAATTAATTGCATTTCCAAGAGAAATTTTATACAGTAAGACTGTATACTCCTAAAAAGGTGTGATTATTTATCATATGGACTGAGAAGATTCAAAATGATGAAGTTTAAATATAGTAATTTTTGTAAACTGTGGATAGAAAGATTTGAACTACATCTTTTTTTATGTTGATATAACATGACCATGTGATAAATTATGCTGTGTGATTTAAAAAAAATTAGTCACTTACTCATAAGCACTCCCTGCCACTGGGGCCTTGGATTTTTTAACTGCATATGTACAGCCATCCAGTCTATTAACACACTTGAACACACTGCCAAACTCTCCATTTCCAAGTTTGCAAACTTCAAGAAATTCTTCTTTGTATCGAGATGTATTGATCTCCCTAAGAGCTAGTTTCTGAATAAAATTACACTTCTAATTTATCCGTGAATATAAGCAATTACACATTTAGCATTTCAAGAAATACAATTTGAAAACAACTACATTTGTACAATGATGACAACACTACTTATCTCTTCATAAAGTAGTTTGAACCCATAAGAAAAAATATTAATAAAATAAAATGAAATAAAAATGCAACTTGTTTACCTTGTTTATGGGTGAGTCATCCACTGCTTCATCATCAGAGTCATCCAGGATACTTCTAATAAAAAAAATGGATAAATTACATTCCTTTTAGTCTAGAGTACTTCTGTTCTTGAAAATCTAACAAAAAGATTCTCGTAACCCTTACGTAACATTTAATTTTAATTAAGATGAAAGGTTTTGGATAGCAGATTGACAGAATCTAAATGTTTACAAACCCCTTAGGTTAATTTAAAGATCACATTCTTTCTAAGCACATTCAAAGAACTTAGAAGGATGTTCTGTTGATTTCCTTCTATAGTGAATTTCCTTTAAAATATTTATACTGTACTGTTGGATTGTAAAGAGGACTTGGATTTTTGATATTGAAGGTGCTTTACACTGACAGGGTTTATGTGAACATGCAATACACAACAATAAATCAAATTTAAGCACAGACTATGGGAAATAAAATACTTAGTTTGGACTAACACAGAATTGGGAGGATCTGCAGATTTCTTGTGGTGACCAGACCTTTAGTATATCCCAGAAACTTACCCATTTCTGAATATGTAATTATGCATCAAACACATTACTGTCCAAATAATGATGTGAAAATAATGACAAAAAATAGTCAAAGAGTATCTTAAATCTCTCTCCCAAATAAAAAAGTTTTCTCTATTAGTTAAACCAGTTTCATATTAGCTTATGCCAGTTTCCTTCCCATTGATAAGAGAACAAAATTAATTAACACTACCACTGGAGATGAGACAGATAAAACTTAACAAACCAACTGCCAAGCCACTGAACAGATCCGAGATTCTTATCTAACAATGTAACAAGTTGAAACCATTTAAATCAGGCATTCATGCACAATTAAGCCAAAGGAATGCTTCAAGAGTTTGTGCACCATGCAATCAGTGGTTACCTTTGTTCTCAAAATAAAGATATATCTCTAAAGGTCATAAAAGTAAAATATCATACACCGTCAGCAATATTAAGGGAAATTGGTTTGTTGGTTCAATATATAAAAAAACATTACTAATTGACTTAAAAGAATTTTTTTTAAATTGTAGACTATTAATTGCCCCCTCCTACCTATTAAGCTTTTCTAAACACTCTGGTTTGACTAAATTTAATGCTTTAAAAACCAAATCATGCAATATTGACTGATTAAGAAAAGTTCCTTAATAAAAGACAATTTGAAAAATACACTTTTTAGCCAGACTTTTACTGTCCAAATATATGGTTGTTACAAAAGGGCAACTGTCAATCTCACATATCAGGGAAAAATCAACTGTAAATGGTTTCCTCACCACCTGCTCTTTTGACAGAAGCTAACTGAAACACACCAAGAGGTCTTCCTGCATAGAATACACCTGCGTGACAAACAACCCTACTGCTGGAATGCTATTTTTTCGTGAAACAAACAGTGTAGGGAAGAAAAGCACCTGTTCAGTTAATGAAGCTTTATAAATAATCATAATAATAATAATAGAAAGCAGAGGCATTTACAAATTTTAAATGCTCTGAATCTTCTTAGTAGTGCTTTCATCCATTAACTAGGTTACTTTTATTAACTGTAAAATTAATTTAATTTTTAAAATTAAAAAATTTGCAGAAAAAAGGAGCTTAGACTTCAATACATCATATAATATGGAGTATTTATTATTACTATCAAAAATTGCTGTATTAAGGCAGTTTAAGTGTTTGCCACTTAGGAAAATTAGTTGCTGGACCAAAAGTCCAGCCATCTTGAAAAATAGCTGAACTGGAATATCTGACTGGTGGTAAAACTTCTCAGCCCCTTCTGAAAGTTGTCAACCCCAGACAGATGGTCCAGCATTAATTTCAAATACTGGGCAGTTTGCATATTTTAATTTATTTGAATAGTATGCTTTAACTTTAAACTTCCAATTACCTATAGACCCTCATTTAAAATTGTAAATATTCCACATAAAAATTGTGTAAGTGGTATTTGAATGAAGGGCAGTTCATTATTCACCCAGGTGAGTAACCACAAACTTATGACTCATAATCATGTATCTGACTCATTGACCTAGATTTTAGTCAGGAAAAGCTAATCAAAAGGTGTTTTAAAATCATTTTGAATTTGGCCTTTTAAATTGCGGATATTTGAAATAATTACCTGTAATCATCATTCCTTGTCCTTTTGATGGGTTTAGAATTATTGTTTGGTGTAAAGGGGTTAACGTTAGCAAGAATTTTTTCCTGGTCATTTTTTCTTTGCTCTGTCCTGCTGCTGGAAGTAAGCTTTCCTCCAAATAATTTTGTCTTGTTGGTCCTCAAAGTTCTTCTTTGGGCCTTTTCCAACAAACTTTTTGGCGTATGTGGAGTGTCAAATAATCTTAGAGCTTTCAGTCTTTTGTGGGGTGGTGTATCGGCACGAGAACTGGTTCTAGATGGGATTTTAAAATTGTCATTTTGGTTTGCTCCCGAATCTAAAAAATCCTCGTCAACAATATCCAAATCAAAAGCTGGCAATGGGGATCGTAGCCTTGTCCTTGCAGGTCGTAATCGACATGGGCTGGAAACTGGTGTCGGACTGGCAAACTCACGCTCCCAAAAGCTAGAGGCGTCATTATCACTGCTACTTGGACTGAATAACGACTCCATTGAAGCGTCTTGCGGTGAATCCATCGTGTCTTCCTCTCCGTCGCAAATGTCGAAATTTACAATAGGTACACTGTCAACTCTTCGCTCAATTTCACCATCAGAAAACAGTCGACCTCTACATTGATCCATGTTGATGTTGTTACGACTACTGAATGACTTCAAATCGCTACCATAGGGAGATTAGATGGTATAATTACGTCTGTTTATACTAATTACAAACTGCTTCCTTAAAATACCCACGCTTTATTTTTGGCGGGACCGTTATCCACGTGATTATGTTTCAGCCAATGAACATTTTTCAAATAAAAGCCAGTTCTCGCGAGATTTAAACCGGAAGTTACAGAAGAAACACGACACGCCGAAGCCATTAGTTCTTTTATTAACAGGGGAAGCCAAGGTTTGAAATAAAATAAAAGGTAACCGATATTGGTCTAAACTTCTTGCTACATGGAACTTATAATGATAACAATCTTAGAATAAGTCATTTAACGATGTTAACGTACACTTTCTAAACTCTGGCAGTGGCAATTAAGGCACGCTTTGCTGTC